CGAAGTCACTCATACGCGGTGAACAACACTCTCAACTCACAAAACGCGCAGAGAACACAGGTCCGCACTGAAGGACTCATTGTGAAACATTCCAGTAACACAACAACAGTCTATTGAAGAGTTTGAATTCTCAGGCACTTGTCATTCCCAGAAATACTACAGGGGTTACCCTCAAGGCACCTGCTGCAGCGTAACCTGAATTTACAACCAAGGCTTACACGAAGTAGCAAAACTTCACTTTGGCATTCAGGGGAAAAATCCCAAGGGAGTACAATCAGAAAGAAACACTCGAAGGTGTAAGGGCGAAACTGTTCAAGTATCTAACTAGTCACTGGCTCTGAGCATCGGCAGTCACCCGCGGGTGCAGATCCGAACTACTCAAGTCTCTAACCAATGGACTAGCTCTGAACATTCGGCCGAAGGCCTTCAGCTACAAAATGCGGAACGCTAAGTTGTAACTCCTCCTGCGTGGTGACAGAACTCAAGGACACAAACACGCAAAGGAAATGGGTTCCTGATCTATACTTCTGAGTTTGGGAAAGAACCCCAGGCAAAACGCCTGGAACTGTTTTATACCTTCTAAGTCCTACCTAGCACTACACTGCACTACGCTACACGCCTGCACGGAACCACGCTACACTACACTCCGCGGAACCTGTACTACGTCTCCTACGCGGCCGACTGCCGCGCACTAACTCCCTACCCTGCCAATCTTCCGCTCGACTGCGCAGTCCCAAACGCTGCAACGCCGCGGACACCTCTACTTCGAGGGCGGACATGGTATCCTGTGCCTTCGACAGAAAGGCATCGAGCTTCTTCGCTACCTTCCGCCGACTCCTACTGTCGCCTGACAACAACCCGGCTGCGCGTAATTCAAACTCACGCAGTGTGAGTTTCTCCTGCGCCTTCACTTCCCAGTGGGCGTAGCCCTTGAGACAGTGGGCGACACGCCTCGCCGTCTCCACCTTCGTGCGATCCGCCTCCTTCCTGCGATCTTCTTCAATTATCACTAATTGCGATTCGGCTTCAGCACGTTGCGCTCTCAATTCGCCACACTCTGACTGTAACCTGCAGATTAACTCTTCATCCGCCTGCCGTGCGAGCTGACATTGTTCCAACAACCGCGTCTGTCGCACGAGCTCCTCTGACAAAATCCGATTCTGGGCCTGCTCAGAAATGAGTGCTTCCTTGACCTTCACCTGCTCCTTGGTGAGCTCGTCCAGTTTCTCATCCTTCATCTTCTCGGAGTGCTTGTAGAATTTCTGATTAAGTTTGTACTGACCCCACAAGCATGCATGCTTCTCCTTCAATTACCTCAACTCCTGGTCCACTCTAGCTAACAGCTTGCTGGTGTGGACTTTAGTGCGAGTCCGCCTGCGCACTAACTCGATGTAAGATCCCGGCTGGAGTGGGTCGGCGTATTTATCGACCTTGCGATCCAAGTACCTCAGCAACGGAATCACCTGCTCAGAGAGCGCCGCCGCCGGCGCTCCAACAATTTCCTCCTCCTCCTCCTCGGTGTCTTCTGCTCCTGACATTTCTTCCGTGGAGCCTCCGTCGTCATCATCCGAGTGGAGAATTTCAGTCGCCATTGATTGCGTCGGCGACTGCCCCGAGTGGGGCTGCACGTCATCGACGTGTGCTGCTTGCGAAGGCACGGCTGCAGCCTCGCTGCTCGTCGCCAAAATGTCTAAGGCGGAAGGCGAATGTACCCGTGCGGCATCCCCGTCGCTCACTTGTTGGTTGTCTACCGCGTCCTCGCTGCCGCCGTCGCCCGCCGCCGAAGGCGATCGAGCGGAGGGTGGCTGCGCGGGGTTTGATTGCGCATCGCGCATCGAAGTTTCATCCCGCGGACAGTCACTCCGCTCCTCCGTCTGTTGCTGCTCCCTTGATCGGTCCGTGGGGGCTGTGCCCGGCCCGTGCGCAGGCGCAATTGCCGGCGCCTTGTCCGCCGCAGGCGTAGCGCCGCGGACATCCATCGCCGAAGGCGACATGGCCGGGGGCCGCTCGCCCGATGTCCCTTGGCCTATAGGCCCTACCGCCGAAGGCGCATCTATCGGCGGACTTCCCGCCGATGGTGCGGCCTCCGCACGCTCCCTGCTCGTATCTCCTCGGCTCGAAGGCCCTGGCGCCGAAGGCGCAAATTGCGGCGCGTGGTGCGCCGGAGGGTCTGGCCCCGAGGGCCGGTGTCTCGTAGGCGGTTCTTCCGCCGGCTCCTTCCCCTTCCTACGTTGGAACGGGGGTGATTCTTGCCTGTGCACAGGCGGCACGTGTGGAGGTGTCCTGTGCACAGGTGAGCGCCTGTGCACAGGCGGACTGCTCCTTCCCACGCGTAAGCGTAGATCCACGTCCACTTGTGATCGCCTGTCCGCGGAGGCTCGTCCGTCCGCGGAGGCTCGTCTGTGCGCAAACGGAACATCCGTCCGCATCGCACGTGGTAACTCCGGAGGCCCTTGGCCCGTAGGCGGCCTCTCTCCCGTCGAGGTTGCAGCGTGGCCCGTTGCTCCTGCGGTCGTCCGCGCTTCCTCATGCTTCTCTGGCGACGCACTTCCTTTCTCCGTCGCAATCGTCGCCGTGTCCGCACTGTCGGCTGGTAACACCAGTCTGCGTGCCTTCTGCTTCGGCCGGCTGTATGACTCGCACAGCGGCCGCGGTCGAATGGGAGCAGAGGGTTCTTGATGCTGCTCCTCTTCAGACTCTTCCCTCCATCGCCGCTTCCGCGGCACTCGTGCTGCACGAGTGTGTCTCCCTTCGTCCCTCCGCCTTGATGGGGTAGAAGTCGGTGACTCCTCTGCATCAGTGTCGACCTCATTCTCCCGCACATACTTCCCGGGATGGTCGATGGACAATGGCGGAAAATGTTCAAGCTCCGCCGCTGTCAAACAATTCCGCTGTCGATAAAAATTGATGAGGAAAGGAGAAAGATGGTTTAGAGTTCCCCCCTTCTCCTCAAACGCGTGCTGTCGCATCACCCTGTGCAGGATGCTCGTCCAGTGAATTGGAGTTCCCTCGATGACGCACTCCACAAAAGAGACCTGCCACAATGTGATGTAGCAGGCGCGGTGCGGCTGCAGTAATTGCATCAGCGCCGCGGACAAAGTCCGGCGAAATCGATCCTTGTAATCACGGGTCCTGTACCCATTCTTGGTAGACCTCCCGGTCTTGAACAGCTCCACAAATTGCGCCTCTTCCTGCTTGGTCACCTTGATGCTCTCACTGTCGAAAAGGAGATGCCCTGGCATGCCAGCACATCTTCCCAACGCCTGCGCCCAATCTTGGACTGTCCACCGGTCAACATGCGGACGCAATCCGCGCGAGGGTGGTCCCTGTGGCTCTAGCCACTCGCGCACCATATTCGCACAGATGTAGTTCCATCCCCATAGCAAGAAATCGAGCTTTCTTGCTATTAAGCGCTCCTCGAAAGCGCGCAGCCCGTTCTGTGGTAGGCGAAGTGGCACCATCCGCAATCTGCTCGGTCTCGTCATTGCGTTCCTGGGGTTCGCTCGCCCGCTCATTCTACTTCCGCACCGCCCGAGCTTCTTTCTCTCTCGGCAAACTCTAATCGCCCTCAATTCCAAATCACGCGCATTCACTTCTCCCTCAATCAACAAGAAATCTCCTGTGCGACGACGTCGAGAATGTTTAGCAGCCAGCAGATGGATGCGCGCAGCGCGCACAAGAGATTGGAATCGCGAATTCAAGAATGGGACGTTCTCCGCCGCCCGGTCGAAGGTCATGGTCGGCTCTTGCTCGTGAAGAACGTCTCACTTGATGGCCGCGCCGGCTGTACGCTGGAACGGTCTTCGCTCTCACGCGCGGCTTCACGCTCCGCCGTCGTCGATTAAACTCTCACGCTCGAATTGGCGGATTTGAACTCCGCGAGCGTATTACCCCGCGGACATGGGGGCGTAGCGCCGAAGGCGAGTTTTCCGCCTTGCGCGGTACACTTGTTCGTACCGCCCCTCGGCCAATCCCCCTCTGCCTTGACGCGTGTGTCCGCATGTCGGACAAAAGTTCAACTCCTGCCTGTGCGCAGGCAGGAGCTTCGGCGGATGCTCCGCCGGCACGGAACTTCATCCTCCTGTGCACAGGCGGTCGCCTGTGCGCAGGCGAATTCCGTGCGCGGCGTCGCGCTGGCGCGGAAGGCGTTGACCGTGGTCAGCCGTCTCCGTCCAGTCTGTCCGTTCCTTGTCTCTTCGTCGGCGCTTCCGCCGCCGCAACTCCGTCCGTCCAAGAGCGCATCCACCCGTCCCGTCCGCATGGTCCGTACCGATTTGATTACTCTGGCGGCTCTTCCGCCGTACGCGGCGCTGCGCTGGCGCGGAAGGCGCCGTACACTTTCTACCTCACAAGGCGCATTTCTAGGGCCCAAGGCGGATTTTCCGCCGACGCCGAAGCGCCTGTGCACAGGCGAGCGCCTGTGCGTAGGCGGACTTCGCGCCTCCCCTAACCCTACTTCGCCTGTGCACAGGCGAACGCCTTCGTCCGCGCATAGGACAAAACTTGATTCCTCCTTCCGCGTAGGCGGAATTCGCGCCGGTGGCGAACTCTTTCCGCCGTAGGCGACCGCCTCCGTTTCTTCCAATAGTGATAACTCCCTGAGTCCTCATCCGTTCCAAGCGTTCTTGGACTCGTTGGAATCAGTGCGTCGAGCTCTTTCCAACGGGACCCTAACTTGGTCAAGGCGCCCGAGGGTTGACCTAATTACGGAGGGTTTCCCTACAGCCGCGGACGCAACCTCCGAAGGCGGGTTTTGCGCCTTGCGTCGTAGGGGTCCTAACTGCAGAGCTCGCAGGGAGGGTGGTGCCTGTCCTTACTGCTGCACCCCAAATCCCAGATTCCACAAGATCCCTCGAGAATCCCCGCGATCTTCCGGATTCACTCCGTTTTGATGTACCGAAGGCTATTTACAATGCTGCCAGGGTACAGTTTTCCAAAAATGTTTTAATTTCCTCAAAATTGCCAAAAGTGGGGTACCACAACTATCATGGAATATTTTAACGCACTGATATGCTCATCAACTAACAGTTGGATGAAAAGAAGCCGCAGAGGAGTGAGTGAACTCATTAATCCAAAGTTTATTTCAGAGTCTGAATTCCAAAAAAACCCAACCGAATAAGACCATCAGCTGATTGCAAATGTGCATCTTCAGACTTCCAAAGACGTGCAAAACTGAGGCGGAGCTGAGCATCGTCAAGCCTTAGTCGATATTCTTCACTGCTCCCATGGGTTGGAGACGTCTCCTATGGCTACAATTATTGTTATTATACCGTTTGTCATATTGCTGCGAACTGTTAAACTGTTGAGTCGAACTGACCTCGGGATTGATATGGTGAGTTACATCACCTCGAATGACTACATTTATATCTTCTGCAGTCCATGACACTCGGCATAAGTACGTGATGGTGAAGCCCGACAATGTGCGAGAATGTAAACGAAAGCTCGCAGCAGCAGTCCATCGCCATCACCATCACGTTGAAAAACGCTCGAGGATGTGGTCCTTCGATTCACAGCAATCCGTGGCAGCAAGTGCGCTTCATACAAGCGGACAAAGGGCCGAGTGAGTGACGAAGCACCAAACTAGCGAGTGCTCGGGATCCAGATTTTCAAACGCCCCCCGACACTCCATCTTCTAGCGATGGCGAGCGGCAGGACATTGAATGGAGCGGAAGGAGAAGCGGTGCCACATTCAGCTCAAGCGAACGCAATTCTCGTCGGGACAAGACGAGGGGCAGTAAGATCCAGCTCGGAGGATCCGTTCGGCCACAGATTGACTTTGTAGACGAAGGGGGGTCAAGGCACCGTGGCACGAAAGACAGGACGGACGCCGATGGGCGCGGGCATCAGAGCGTGCGTACGAGGCTGACGCTACGCACCGTTGGAGCGATCGATGCTCTCGGATTTTAAAATGGCACCGGAGCAGCTTTCGGGCGGAGAGGGACCGGAGGTCGGATGGGAGCGGACATGTGCTTTGTCCGCAGGACCAAGGAACGGAGGATACCTCCATCGTGGACAGGGCCACGTGCCCCGTCGTGCTGCCGAGTCGGTCACGATTACCGGAGCCCGGGCGTTACAGAAGGCTCCGCCGGTGAGACCCAGCCATGATCCGCCCACATCTGCGACTTCATGCATTCCAGCATGAATTCTCGTTCATAACAATCCTCTCGACCCCCCGTCCACAGAATCTAGCAATCGCTCGATCAATCTCCCTCCTTTCCCACAGAGCTCTGGCACAGCGAAACCGCACGGGGTCTGTTGGAGCCTCGAGCTCCCTTCATGGCACTCAGTGGCCAGGGGAAACATGAACATAAACCCAGCTGCCTGATGGAGTACACGTGGGATCTGACCTAACTCTCCCCTGCTGCCTCGATCTAAACTCTGGGACGATGCAGGGAGCTATGGGGTTGTTAGTGTAGGCCGAGACTTCTGTAGCACTCGCTTTGACCTATGGAAGGTGTGCGGTTTCGGTTGGAGGGGATGGATTGATTACCTGGAACGGCTTGGTCATGAGAAAAATAATTGTTTCGCTCGCAGGGTTTGCTTTGTGGTGCGAGCGACGTGAGGAGCCACTGAGGCACTACTATCCAGTGAGCCCTTGAAAGCACATGCAGTCGGCGCACAGATTCTGGTAGATGGCACCTGAAACGAGAGGCTGGGTTGGGAAGCGTCAGAGGTTAGCTGTCTCGTATTTGATTTGCCGATTTGTTCATTTGTGATTCTGAGTGAATCGGTAGGTCTCCGCGAGGGTGTCGATCATGGGCTGGTGAACCTCATTGGACCGTGGCATGTGTGACCGGAACTCAAGAGCCTCGGATCTCTTCGAGGACCATTCCCTTCACTCTCATCTCATCTCAAGCAGACAGCATGAAGTTCACCAGTGATCCTTGCATGAAACAGGGGGTATGGAAAAGTTCGGACAGGCTCGTCAGATGCCTCGTTAATTTTAGAAGATTCTCAGACGTTATCTGACAAGTCGAAAAGCTCACGCAAGGCTTTGGCCGACAGGTTAAGCTGTCTATTATTGAAGCTTACAATGACAGCCGTTAGCCAACAAGACAAATCTCTTTCGCCTTGAGAGCATCCGAGCGAGAGAGCCCAAATGCGTCTCTCTGCTCCTCTGTCGACGACAGCTGCCTCTGATACTTTCAGACTCACGTCCTTGTTCTCGGTGTGCCTATCCCCGTAAGCACCAAAAGTGCAGCTCGGAGCAAGGAAGCAGTAGATCGGCATTTGCGAGCATACTCGAATGCGATGAGCACCATGCATGGACCATGCAAGGAAGTCTGGAAAGATGGACAAGTGTGCAAAGGGGTAGCCAGACTAGTCTTCATAAACTGTATGGACCAGTTTCGGATCATATTTCAAATGTTTTTATATATATCTGAAGCTGAGAAGATGGAGTTGAAACCTCTTGCCCATCTGATATCCTAGTATCTCAGATCTCGAATGGCCTTTTGAACGAAACCACCTGAACAAGCGGAAACAGTTGAAGTCTGTACGTTTTTTGAGATGTAGAGGAAATCACAATTTTCTAGTAAACGATGCAAAATAATTTTCTGATAGGGCATCGCTGTGCTCCTCAAGGGATAAGGGGTGGGTGGTGTGGGCACTGGCACTGCACATCTCAATACCTCTCTCCTCATGTGAGAATGCAGAAGCATAATATCGAGACAAATAGGAGTTTGACAAATTGGTGTTATTGAATTTGCCTACAGGAAACAACAACTGGGCCATAATTTTCGCACTTCCTGTGCGATGAATGTGCTGTGGGAAGAGAAGATGTCAAACGAAGAACGCGGTTCAAATTCGTAAGAAACTTGTCGAGCATGGAGAGAATACAAGACCTGAAGCGGAAGAGATGAAATGCAAAGGATACAAAGATGTGTGATTCTCTTCTCCTTGGATCCTTTCTGTTCCCCTTTCCTTAGCATGCTGCGGCATGCACATGCGAGGTTCCATGGGAGAAAGGGCTCGATCTGGTGATCCAATGCCTGCTGATCAAGCGGAAATCTGACTACCGCGCTATGCACTTGATCTTGTGTGATGTAGAAACGAGGCGTATCCCAGAGATCAAGCCCATATGCACCCTTCATGCACCATTCATGCCTCTATTCGGACAACCCGCCTCCTTCGGTTTGCAACCATTTTGCCCGTGAGGAAATTCCCGTGGCAGAGCTTTGAGGTGCAATTCCACAGCACTTGAGGTGCTCTGGGATGTGAATTCACGTACAAGCATTCAAGTTCGGAACGAGAATCACCAACTGCTTACTGTCAATCCTGATTTAAGCAGTTTACAATGTGGCGAAAGGATCCTAACGGATCCTTGCGATTCTTCAGGCAGCACTGAGAAGACTCTTTTTGCAGGAACTTTTAGTTCTGACACTCCTGGAGCCAATGGTACCACAACATAGGACACTATAAAAGGCGGGTGTTCTCCTTTTCGACTGCGATTGGAGTAAAGTATATGGCATGAATGCACGAGAAAGTATATTCGTGAATGAAATCCGAGAAGGAAAAATAGACGTAGAACTCGTTTCAAGAGTGGAGGGGAAACCTCAGTAGATTGCAGGATTGCAGGATTGTAAATCTTTCACAAGAATATGAGCTGTGGGAATTCTCATGGTGATTATTTGAACGCTTTAACTGGCAGAAGGGAAAGGAAGATAACAACATGTAACAACATGTTGAAACAGCATTTCAGGAGGACTCTAGTGAGCTTGTGTGTCATATCTCGACGGATGTCTACGGTCGCGGAATATTGTAGGGATTGAATTCTTCCTGCTGCGGCTGCTACGCATCTCTTACTGTTGAACACACTGCATGAGTCGTGCCAACAAAAACCAGGGCGAGGAGCAGCTTTCGAAGCGCGCCTATGGTACATGGCTACATGCATACTCGAGCAGATGTAAAAAAGAAGAAGAAGTCAATGAGAGTGCATCTTCGGATGCAGACTCTTCAGGTCGCCGCGATTAAGCAGCTTGACCGTCATCTTCTCGAGGAGAATCCTAAACGACCGTCCATCAGGATAGGCATTCGCTTCGGACGACGCTCCGAAAGTATTCCAGGAAGCGAAGGCTTTTTGGTGTCTACAGCCTCAACAGAAGATTCTTTAGCCCGATGCACATGCAGCAGCCACGCTTTTGCATTGCACAGGGCAGGTGGTGATCGGACTGGAACAAAGGGCATAAATATGGAATTGAGCGGTCGAATCAGGATCTGTGTGTACTGGCTAGTCAAAAGACATCTACACCTGCGCATGTGATTAAATGCAGGCCTCTTAGCAGGCTGCCGAAATGTGGATTGAGATGCCATTGCCTAAGTGAGAAAACTGTGTGCTGCAAACTATTGACCGATTCGAGGGGCGTCATATTAGCATGGAGGCTTTCTCGATCATGATGAGACTGCCATCCATCGCTCCCTCCATCTGAGCAGATGCAGATCCAGACAGACTCCCAAAATTTACGGCTGGCTAACGAGAATGAGTATCTTCTCGGCTGACCTTAGAGTGGAGCATCATCTTCATCAGCTGGGCACGGCTGATGAGCCTGACTGAACCCCTACTCAAAACGCACGAGCAAGAGCTCCAGAAATCACCGAGAAAGTGAAAGGTTTCACAACTGTCCGGCCCACAGCTTCCATGTTAGTGCAAAGCGGAAGGCGACGCATCGAAGGAAGGATTGCATGAACCTGAACATGGCCAAGAGAAGAGCAATCGGAATTGTCCAGGTGAGCTCCTCCCGCAGAGGAGACCAGCTACACCGCTTCCTCCGACGCCTGCAGATGCAGCAATCCTATCGAGCAGAAGCAGGAGCAGGAGATGAGTTCAGTCACTCACTACGTGCTCATTCTGACTCCTCGCTCGCCCGCTCGCGCGGGTCACCAATTACGATGCTGCGGCTCCAGAATCTTGCGGACACGTCTCACGCAAGCACCAGCCAGCCACAGACGCTTTCGACGTACGCCCGGAGCTCAGCCAGCCGCTCACTGAAAGCCCTAGCTACCAGACTCCCCCCAAGCGAGAGCCTGTTCACCACCACTGACATCCGATGGTGAGCCTCAAACTGCACCACTTTCCGGATTTCGTAGATCCGACCGCGAGAGGTTTCGCCCACTCGCCCGCTGACTCGACATCGCACCATCGCCTTTCTCCTACGACCTCGATCGCGCCTAGAGCCCGCAGGGCGCCTCGACCTGTTTGTCTGACTGCATGGAGAATGTGTACGCCGTAGACCAGACCCTAGTCCAGCTCTTCGAGCGATGGAGACCGGGCGAGGGGCGACATTGCTATGCTGGTCGATATTCCGTCGACTCTGCGCTGCACATACTGGACAGCCGAGAGAGAGAGAGAGAGAGAGAGAGAGAGAGCGCTGTGGGGGGGGGGGGCTGAAAAGGTGGCCATGGGGCTTACAGCACTGGGGCAGAAATTGTCGGGCGTGTCGTCGGTCCTGCCTGCGAGCGGGATCGACGTCCATCCGACGGTTCAGCGGTGCAGCGGTGGGACTACCGACTAGATATTGAGAGATGCGGCGAATGTCCGTTTCTCTCGTTCATGATGATGATGATGGCGGCGACGACTTCTTCTTCTTATTCGTCTTTCTTCGGGTCGATGGGAAAAGATTGGGACTCAAGCCACATTCGAGTCGGAGTTGGGCGGTCTCGTGGCCGGATTCGCTTCTCTCGGCCTCGCTCCCCGTCGTGTTGATCGATCGATCGGATACCAAAAAAAGCTGTCAGGCCGGGGCCTTTCGAGCGAAGCATACGGCGTTCGAGAAGGCCGGATTGAAGGTCAGCTCCTGCGGCCCTCGACTCGACGTGGTGTAGTATTGGACCCCAACGCGAAGGCCGGAGCCATGTAGATGTACGGGAAATGCTCATGCACGTGGAAAGCGAAACGCATCCATTATTGGCCATGCACCGAGCAGCCCGCAGAAGCTACGACGGGACGGAGCTGGGCGGGTCGGGGCGGGGCTTGAGCCTTTTCATCGAATCGAGATGACAGCGCTTAGTAAACAAAAGCTTTATAAACCACATGCTTTACATCTCGAGTCTTACACATCATACAACTTGCACGAACGAGAAAATCGATCGAAGCAAAAGCATCGAATATGACTGACTGCTGCTGCTGATACTGCGATCGATGATGAGCGGTGCGAGCGTGCAAAGCACTGTTGGACAGTTTGAGGAGGATTCAGCGATAACTGCACGGCCGTAGTAGAAGCAGTAGAAGAAGTAGTAGTAGGTAATCCTAATCCTATCCGAGACGGGGAAATTACTTTAGGCCCGGAGGGCACTGTGAAAAGCTGCGCCTCTGGACAGGGTCCACTGGCGCATGTGCCTTGGCCATCATGAATCCTCGAGTTTCTTCCTTAGGGCTAAGTAGTATTATATAAAACCAACAAAAGCGTGAACCTTCTACGCAGCCCGTAGATTTATTCAGAAAAGCTGATGAGTCCAGTTCACATAGCCTCCGGAGACTTGGGAATCGAGTCCTTGTTGAACCATCGAGGTCGATTCTGCCAGTCCGGAATCAACATTGGAACCGACTGGTGCCATGTCCACTATTTCTAAGGACCCGGCTGAATTCTCAGCGAGATTTTCAGGCAGAGGCAAGGCCGCAGGCGAATGGCCGACGAACAGACTCACGTGCCCGAACAGCTTATCCTTGCGGGAGAAGGTGGTGCCGCAAGAGCACTGCCATTTGTCGCAGCCACAGTGCTTCTCGTGGGTCTTCAGATCGGCGACCACGGAGAATTTCTTGACCTTGCACTTGCTGCAGGCCAAATTCTTCGCACAGTGACTTCTCCTGTAGTGATTCTTTACGCACAGCAGCGATTTGAGAGGCTGAAACTTGCGATGCTTCACGTTGCGCTTGCAGCCGACGTGCGGACATGAGAACCTCTTGGGGATTTCCGGAGTCTGCTCGTCTATGGGCTTCTGGGGCCTGGCCAGAGCCTCGGGAGTTTTGTACTCGTCTCCGTGGCTCCTCATGTGCATCCTCAGGTTCGCGTCTCTCTTGAATCCCTTCCCGCACAAATTGCAGAAGTGAGTGTGCTCGGCCAGAATTTCCTGATCGTCCAGTTCCACGAGCTGGTAAGAACCATCGACCAAATTCTCGCCCTCCCCGTCATCGAAATCGTCCCGAGAAGCTCCCCCTCTGGATCTCACGCCCATTTCCTGATCCTCGGAACCGTGCGACCCCGAGGCCGAGTTCGAAGGAACCATGACGCCAGGAGAGGATCGATTGATCGAGGCCTTGCCTGAACCATTCATGCCAGAACCTGCTCCCGGTCGGGCAGCCATGCGATTGTTGAAAGGTGGCGGTTGGCGCAAGTTTCCCACTCCCACAGTCTCGCTGGGGTGGACTGAAGATCCACTGCCTGTAGTCACGGCTCCATGGCCAAAAATCGGGTCGCCCGCGGTGGCAGAAGGGGTTCCGGACATGCTGCTCTGACCATGACCAAGAGCGTTAAGATTGTTCGTGTTTTGGTCGTGGTTGTTCCCACCCATCCGCCCAGGGAGAGAGGAGAACGCGTTGTTGTTCCCTACAACCATATCAGCATTAACTGGACTTGAACCCGGATGGTCAAAGAAATTAAAGCCAGTAGAAGAAGAACATGCCCCAAAGAGATGGCTGAGCTGCGAAGAATCAGACATGGATAGATTCTGCGTTTGGTTCTGGTTTAGCATCCCTTCAGAAATTGCAGCAGTCACCTGCGATATGAGGCTTACGGCCGAAGCCACTTGCTGTTGTTGCTGGAGATTCGTCTGCACTCCTTCGCCGTTCATTCTCACGATTTCTTGCATTTTATTGATTTTTTGTTGGATGTCTGCCAACGCGGCGTGTAGATTTGGATCCCCGATAGCGAATTGGCCACCCTTGCCAGCCCCACCCGAGGCCCCGTCCCCCGAAAGCATGTGAACCTGGCCGATTTCCATGAACTGCTGCAAGTTCAGATGGTTCTGATGGTTCTGATGGTTCTGCTGTTGCTGCTGGTGGTTCAACCCAAGGCTAGCATGGACTCCAGGATGTCCATGCCCCATCTGAGGATTGATACCATCCTGCATGTTTCCAGCTTCAGGACGTCTTCCAGCATTCCTGGCTCCGATAGAGCTCGCATTCGCGCTAGCGTGCACCTGCGAGAAGGTCTGGCGCATAATCGGCGGCTGACCATGGCTATGGGCCTGCTGGGGATGCATTCGTCCCATGGAAAAGTTCATGCTGGCCGCAGCTGAAGACGAGAACGGATTGTGCGGAGTGTCCTCCATCTTCTGCCGGAAGTGTGGAAATTCTGCCATTTGCAGTTTCCTTGGGGGTCAACAAGACTCTATCCTTGAGCGATAGGTGACCGAAGGCTAACCTCCACCTGATCTGCTCATATCCGGAAAAGGCACCCAACGTCAGTGCCCAGGCTGAAGCAATCCATTCGACTTAGAAGAACTTCATTCCAAACCAGGATGGCAACGACTTGAATCCATCTACCAATCTCCGAAAAAATCGACTCGAAGGTGCTTAAGGTCTAGTCTCCGCAAGCAGTGGCCCATCAGTCTATGCAGCTACATGCTGGAGAAATCGACCCAAATTCCACGAGAGATTTGGGCCTACCGGTGTGATGAGTTCGAGCGAGCCAGATAGATACATGGAAGGAAGGAAGGAAGGAAGCGAGCGAGGGAGAGATGGAGCATACCTGCTCTCGGCAAGATTCGCAAAGCTCAAGACGGAAAGAGAAGTTTTGATTGCTGCTGGCCAAGCGTCATGAAATTGACGGCACGGCCCGACACGAGTACACCTCGAACGAGATTTCTTTAACGACCAGAAAGCCTCAGGGCGGCCGATGAACGGGTTGGGATCTAACCTCTCGCTCATCAAACGCTCTATGTCTTGACTGGCTTCCAGCATCAAGTACAACTGGGGGCTCAGCAGATGAGAACTTAAAACCTCCAACGCAAATAATGAGCGATCTCAGAAGATCCGAGGCCAAGTGGTGATCGCACACACGCAGAACCAGCGCACACAGTGGCCCCCTCGCCCCTCGCGCACTCTCTCCTTCTATCCCCGTCTCGAATCACTGAACGAGAGCCGAAAAGACCCAGCAGTCGACGAGACCCATAGACTCGACTCCTCTCAGATAGATATCGCAGCCACGAGCACAGCAGCAAATGAACCAGGTCAACTGGAGACGCGATTGTTGACAACCCGTGCCTGCCTCATTCAGATTACGAAGCGCCTGCCACGGGCACACCTGGGAAAAAATAAGATAAAACTAATGGAAGGCGTCGAGTGGTTTTCGGTTTTCGGAATTTCCGGAAGGAGTACTGGACAAGAAAAGAATGCTCCCCTCCCCTCTACCACAGCGACATATGACGTTCGAGCGGCAAGCGATCCAGAGAACGAGGCGCACGGATGCAGCAGCGAAAAATTCGATGATTTGGCAGGCACTGGAAAGTCCACTCCGTTCCCGGCAAACGGCAGACGTGCGTGCGCGGCAGAATGTGATCAGCAGGATTCTACAAGGTATCACCTGCAATCAAGCTCTCTTACAACCACCTTCCCCCTCCCTCGGACACCTTCAACCCAGCTGCTTCCGTCCTTCGGTCCAAACTGCCCTCCAGGCAGAACTTCACAATCCCTTCTCCAATCCCTCCCGGACTCTTTCCGAGCTCCGCGTTCCAGGAAGTGTGCGTGAGGTGTGTGAGAGCGTGGTGCTGCGACTGCTGCTGCTACCTCTCTGCGGATGCCATACACTCATTCCCAGAGCGGCCGACGAAGTAACGATGGAAGCAAAGTTCGCAGACTCCTGTCAACCTCTGGTTCGTTATAACACTCGTTCACCGCTTTACGGCCGAGAATGGCCCCGAATCACAGCTCAAATTTCGCCCTCTCGCGCAAAAACGTCCGTCAGATGGCGCTGTGAGGTGACGTGAGGCGCCTCCGTGGGGCCCCCGGCTAGCAGCGGTGGGGCCGCCCGGGGGTCGCCCATGTGTTCCCGGCGGCCCCACCGCACCGTGAGATTTTCTCATCCGACGCTCCGCCGTGGGCCCGCCGGGCGCCCCCCCAACCCCGGCCAGGTGGTGTCCGGCGGAGGTCGTTTCAGCTTTCGACGATCCAGTCCTACGGAGGAGACGGGCACGTGTCAGCCCTTGGTTCCTGCGCTTATTTTTGTATTTCTCCTCTCCTTCCGCTTTTCCGGAAAACTATTCTGGTGTTGGGTTTCTCTTCGGCGGCGGGCTCGTTTGCCAAACTGCCCGTCTCTCGGCCCTCGGCCTGCTCATGACCTCTGTCCAAGTTTCTTCTTTCTTAGGTTGCAGGATATTTTCCCCAGAAGCCAACTCCAATAAAGTTCAACTTTAGTAAAGCAAAGTAAAATATGCTCTCAGCAATTAAAGTATAGCTTCCATGAGGCTTGGAGCACCTCCGAGCTCTTTCGCTAGATTCTAGACCTCACTCTCCATCGCCATGGTTTCTTACCCTAGAGATTCCTCATTAAAAAGCAAGGGATACTATCCGGAGACTATTTTTTTTCATCCATTCCTTTCTGCGTTACACTCACCATGTCTTTGTCCAGGCCTCATACAGTTAAAGTAACATGTGTTTGTTTGGTCCATTCTCTGCCTTTTCAGCCAATGGAAAATTCCCCATCACCTTCCTCTTTTAGGGTCTAGGGCTAATGACCTTGGGGTAGGAAGATGATTACTTCTTCTCCTAGTGATGTATAGGTTGCCTTGTGCTAAATCCGCTCTCGACTAGGAAACATCTAAATTAGCTTGCTCCTCTCTCGGTCTACTTCTGTAACCTTTCGGCTATACATACATCTTAGTTACATCACTTGAGAAGGGTAAGTTACAAGAGCAATTTAGTCCTAGGACTTTCGCGAGACATGGGCTCTATTATATTCATGCTTAGAGACTAGACTCATATCTCTCTTTGGAAGTACCTTCATGTCTCTTTCCTTCTTCATTGCTCTTGCATAAGAACCTACATATTGAACGATGCGCTTCGAACAGGGCTCAAGATAGAGATTAATATACGACATAGTGTACAAATTTCTAGTAATACTGAGAATTGTGCAGCATGTTTAAGGTAAGAATGCAACTACGGATCATGACTATGAACATGGTTCGATATGCCATCAGTCTCCCAACACAGTGAAAGGAAGTTCCAAATCAAGAGATGAGCTGAGTTGTCGTAAAAGACCACAAGAGGAAGAACAAGTCGGAAGACTCCCAGGCGCAATTACATTTGTTAGGAAAACGACATGACCTTTATGATGGGTCAGAGGCGAATACAGTCCTGCTTTTGAGATTGGCCATAGGATTCAGCCTTGGTGGGAGGGCCCAACTTAAACAAATCACAAGGTAGTTTGGCATACTTGGCCGTTGTCTGGTAGTTTGGAGATTTAAGCACATGAAGTCAACGTGGGAATAGAATGAAACGACCAGATGATAAGAAAGAGTTGTTTGACACATTGCGACCACAATAACCATTGCGCGCAGCTCTCACTCTCCCAAGGTAGGGATGAGCTTAAGTAGGGACAAACAAACAACAATCAAGCCAAATTTAGCATAACGATATGAAGCTCAAGTTGTCCTTTGTCTCTTTTGTCCTCCTTATATTCTTCTGTTGTCGACCTTTTTAGCTGGGATTGTTGGGAGGATTCTTGTATCTTTGGGACACGATATCAATTAACATTCAGCGCGGTGCTTACCTATTGTTCGATTGGGACCAACGTCACACACATAAATGGACTACGAACCGACTTCTTCATGCAAATATCAAAAATGTACGCTAACACAACCGAATTTAGAATGCAAAGTCCTTTTTGCTTGGTCGAAAATTCCACCAATATGGGAACATGTAAATAGGAGGGCACAAGATTTGCCCACAAATCACCGCATGGGATTTCGGTCATTACCTATTGTTCGATTGGGACCAACGTCATACACATAAATGGACTACGAACCGACTTCTTCATGCAAATATCAAAAATTTACGCTAACACAACGGAATTTAGAATGCAAAGTACTTTTTTCTTGTTCAAAAATTCCACCAATATGGGAACATGTAAATAGGAGGGCACAAGATTTGCCCACAAATCACCGCATGGGATTTCGGTCATGTAGATGTTCTCATATCGAAGCGTACGTTGCTTGGGCTGATCCCAACCCAATTTTGACTTAAATCTGTGCCTGAAGTGTTTGCCCAGTATTTGCACGACACCTGCAAATATTTGCAAACTCTGCCGTGTTCTAAGTTTAGGACTTTGAAAATTTCTTATGTCTGAAACATTCGAATGCTATCATGCAATAACAGACAATCCCTTCGTTACTTGTGTCTAGAATGTTGGGAACCTCGCGGCGATTTTAGGTTATGCTTAGACATACTTCAGTGCCATGCATTTAACTAATTAGTATAATATTTATGTTCTAACGCCCCGATAAGTTGTTTCTCCACATCTGGAACTGTTCTAAGTTGGACCCTTTAAATAAATCTGTCAACCCTTTAAATAAATGTAGAAGCCATACGTGCATGAATAAAGAAAAGAAAAAAATGCCTAAAAAGAAAAGACATGCGGTTCGTGAAAGTTGGCATCGAAGAATGAGACTTTTCTTTTGTTAACAAACTCTAGAGTCTGAAGCTAAACATTAAGCCTACATGTCGGCAAATCAGAAAAATCTTGAAAATATTGTTGCAATCCTAGAGCTTGACAGCGGAATTGTCCTGCCTACAAAATTTGCAAAGCAAGAGAGTGTCACGACCTTGAAGAGAACTAGGTGAGTCCAGTAGAGTATCTTATGGGTGTCACCCACCCTGTAAGTGTCCCGAAAGTCCATAGTCTATGAGAATCTACCTTTTCATGACTTTCATTAGGGTTCTACTCAAGTCGTCTTCATTATGTGTAGCATTCCAGCTGATTGTGAACCATGGGTTGGAGTCAAACCCACAGACAACCCGTGTTCTCCACATACGCCTCTACAAGGTCTACTGGTCTCAAGTTCCCTTAGCTCATGTGCTTTTCACTCTACTTGATCTCTTCATCTCTCATAGACCCTGCTTGTTCCTAGTTCAGCTGTTTTTACCCGTTGTAATCAACAAGAGAGGTTTACCTTTTTCTTTTTTAACTTGTCAAGATGATGGTAATTATTGGATTGCAGGTTTTATGCAACCAATTGCAAGGCTGCAGAATATTCATTTTGTGCAATGTCTCCCATGAAACATGAATCACAAACTTGGTAAGAAATGAATAAAAGATTCCAGATAAATGTTTGAGCATATGTGAAAGACAATCTCACGTCTAGGTAACAAGTTATCACACTGTTCTCTCTCTAGAGAGCTAGGGGTTAAAAAGGTGTTAATTTGTCTCGACATCTTGCCAACAATTCTGGGGTGTACTAAGATTGGCAGGACTCGAAGGAAGAGAACTATGTAGGAGCTCAATTTTTATCAAAGGGAGCAAACCACACGAGATCGCCTCGGAAACAATCTGAGACTGAGGCAATCTCGCCCTCAGCCTCATATTTGCTGACTTCTAAAAAAGTCCACGAGTCTTGAAAATAACTGAAAAAAATAATCTCTTTGACCTCGAGAATCATGCAATTCACTTGGACATTCCGCTAGCCTTAAACCTCACTGCTATCCCATCTCTGCACTACCTGCACTTATGAGGAATACTTGACAACATTGGGACTCAGCTTGTCAAGCTTGAGACGAAGATTAACCCAGTCGCTGGGAGCATCACCACTCAACCGGACAGTTGAGTGGTATAGGTTTTGCATACGTACCTGCCCAGGAGAAGGCATGAGCTGCGAGCTGTGCGCTGCATTTGTTACAATGGGGGATACAGTAGGACGAAACAGTAATTCACACGAACAGGCTGCTGGTGACTACAAGTCCTTGGGCGTCCATGAATTGACTGTGCGCGTGCAGCACAGCAAATCTGCCCTTGGCATGAAGGGGCAGAGAACTCTAGTGTCAGTCAAGAAGAATTTGCTAATTTAAGAAAGTGGTGGAAGCTGCACAGTGAGAGAGAAGGTGCCTTCCGGCCGGATCTGCAAACGGCCGGAATGACTTGGTGAGGAATCCGCCGCCGGAAGTGCCCTGATCATGTATGGCCATGATGTTATTGAGCTCGACTATCGAAGCTGTCATCATCGGAGACAAGCGATCTGATAAATTGGATAAACATAAGCTCCCTGCAATTGTGACATCAGCAGGCTGATGTCATATGATGGGAGACGCCACCTCCGGAGACCTGTTGATATGTCACCATCCGAGCATTATAATGATGTTTAGCTTGTCCAGTTCGGGCATACTCAGAGAAGGGAGAGTGAAAAGCATTGCACAGTAAATTCACGGAGATGGTTGTTTCTTCAATGGTGTTGCATCAACTTGCTGAAAACCCTTATATTCCCAAGTCTTTACACATGAGCCACCCACGTATCCGGAGGTTCAATTGCGCCAATCGTCATTCTCTCATATTCTTTTTCGATGGTCTCCAAGCCTCTCAACTTAAAAAATTTAAACAAAGAATCCTCAACTTGCAGACCCATGTGGTACAGGAAGGTGAATCCTTTACTTGGGTGTTTGAAGTCAGGTCAATGGGAGGGGTGTCTGTATATCATAAGGTGGCCCTCTAACCTCTAGGGTAGGGTAGGGTAGGCTGTGGCTAGATGGGCACCTACAGACAGTAGTGGTGAAAGTGACTGACATGCTCAAGCTCTGAAATTCGGAGACATCATGAATTTGAAGCTGTTGTTTGGCTGGTACACTGAGTTGACGCTCTTCAGTCTAGAACAAATGGAACGTATCATCGACGGATTTCCC